TTGTATTTAAAGAGTGTAGCGCGCCGGGGGGGGGGGGGGGGGGGGTGAGATCTGAGCCGAGAGTAAATCCAGCCCAAGCTCATTGAGGTAAATCAGTCTTGATGGAGGCTGGCTCTGATGGAGGTTTACCTAGAAATTACAAGAGGACATTATGTGATGTAATATGAATTGATTTGTCATTGTGAAGGTACCCTGCCTACTACGTACATTGTAGTGATCCGCTGAGCTGCGGCTGGTTATTGCGTCACCTCCGTATGACTTGTACGAAGCATATCTGAAATATTATCGTTTAGCAATTAGGAGCTGATCGCTCTGAAACCACTTCAACGTATTACAAACCATATTTTTATATTATGCTATTTACACTGTCAGTTTGTATATATAATTTAGTAGGTTTTTTGTAATTATGGGGTCGGGGAGGGGAGATTGAAACATCTGTTTTACAGTTTTGTTTTATGATGATGTTATGTAAAAAATCCTTTTTTTGCACAAAATTGTTATGTTTTGTACAGCAGGAATGAAAATACATCTCTGCATTTTATGTGTTTGTGTGTTGACTTTTGTTGCACAAATTACTATGATGCCTCTAATTTCTCTGGTGTGAGAGGAAGGGGAGAGATCAACAATGTAAACATTAGTATGTTCGAATTTGTGATCGCTGTGATTGGCTGTCATAGTGATCACAAGGTACTGAGTCACTCAGATCAACTTGGTGCATGGCAGCCTATCCATTCACTAGAGACCGGTGACATCACTGAGAATGCAGCCTATCCCTTCACTAGAGACCAGTGACATCACTGAGAATGCAGCCTATCCATTCACTAGAGACCGGTGACATCACTGAGAATGCAGCCTATCCATTCACTAGAGACTGGTAACATCACTGAGAATGCAACCTATCCATTCACTAGAGACCGGTGACATCACTGAGAATGCAGCCTATCCATTCACTAGAGACCAGTGACATCACTGAGAATGCAGCCTATCCATTCACTAGAGACTGGTAACATCACTGAGAATGCAACCTATCCATTCACTAGAGACCGGTGACATCACTGAGAATGCAGCCTATCCATTCACTAGAGACCGGTGACATCACTGAGAATGCAGCCTATCCATTCACTAGAGACCGGTGACATCACTGAGAATACAGCCTATCCATTCACTAGAGACCGGTGACATCACTGAGAATGCAGCCTATCCATTCACTAGAGACCGGTGACATCACTGAGAATGCAGCCTATCCATTCACTAGAGACCGGTGACATCACTGAGAATGCAGCCTATCCATTCACTAGAGACCGGTGACATCACTAAGCATGCAGCCTTTCTATTTATTCACCAGACAAATAAAGATTCTTGCTGACTGTGGCACTCATTGACTTGCTCTGAGTTTATCTGAGGTTTGTGGGGGGGTGGGGAGGGGGTGTTTTGTAATTTGAGTTATTTTCTTAGTAAATCTGTTCACAATAAAACACACATTGAGAAGTAGAATCTCCCTCAGACCACATCACCAGCACTCATCTTGGAGACGTCAGACCCGGATGGATTGATCAAAGCCTCTCACCAGCATTCTTGTGTTGTGCGAGGTGCGGAGAGCTTTGTCGCTGTTAATCATTTGCTGAACATTTATTTTGCATGTTTCCAAATAAATTGCAGAGTCAGACTGACCACAGCCGAGGCTGCAATACCCCGAGACCATTCCCAAACATTTCCATGATGTCTCTCTAGAAGGAAATCCACAATCCCTCTGCGGCCTTTGTCTTTATATTAGCCGTGCTGTGATACCAACCAGCTAGAACTCTGATAGGTCTGCCAGGAAAACTCAGAACCAGCGCACAGCGGACCTCTACAAATGTGAGGTCCATTTATCCATCCTGCCCCCCCCCCCTGGTGTATAAAAACTGGCGAGCTACAACTTTCTATATATTAAACTTTGGGGGAAAGTGAAAAAAATGTACCTTATATTCTGGCTGCCAACTGAATCACCTAGTGGAGGGAGAAGATACTCAATCTCAGTGTCTATCTATCTATCTATCCATCTATCTTTCTTTCCATC